TTACCTGAGGCCGTCTTTAAACCTTTCACCGAAAACATCCCCTGGAATCTTCTTAAAGCCAAGCCATAGTTTCACTCTTTTGAGAGATTTTTTTTTTTTTACCAAATATCAACAACATTGATTGATCAAAGTGGCGCCATCAACTCAAAAGATTGAAAACGTAGAGGATAATGACTTGATGTCAAAGCTGGGGGTGGTGGGGGGTGTAGATTGGGGAGGGAGAGCCAGTTCAGTAGAGGAGACTGAGGATGGTCCCACCGCCTGTGGTCAACACCACTAATTGTACACGGAGAAACTGGGAGAATGGGTAGGTCCTGTCTGCTGTGAATATTCTCAGCAAAAGCACAATAAACTATACACGTTTCTATATATCACATGTGGAATAAGGTAGCTTTATATGTAGTGGTAAAGGAGCACTTGGTGGTGCGATGGTTAAGCGCTCCGCTGCTAACGGAAAGGTTGACAGTTCTAATGCCCCCAGCGACTCTCTGAGGGAGACTTGGAGATGTGCTTCTGTCAAGATGACCACTAATAAAACCCTCTCAGGCAGTTCTCTGCCGTGTGGGGTCCTCAGAGCCCAAATGGACTCTTCCACACCCAGCAGCACTGTGTAGTGGCATGGAAGGATGCTCACCCTCTGCTAGTGAGAAAGCAAGTGGCAGAGCAACATGACTGATCACATTCCTGTGAGGGGTTAGGGGGGAAAGTCCTGGTGGCACGGTGGGTTAAGTGTAGGACTGTTCACTGGAAGGTGGGCTGTTCAAACCCACCAGCTGCTCTACAGGAGAAGATAAGGCCGTCCGCTCTCATAAAGAGTTACAGTCTCGAGCCCCACCGCACTGCCACTCGGCGACGCCATAGGACACGGTAGACCTGCTCCGGTGGGCTTCTGAGACTGGAAATCTTTACTGGCGAAAAAAGACTCTCATCTTTTTCCCAGGGAGAAGCTGGTGGTTTCGAACTGCGGATCTTGCAGTTAACAGCCCAACACTCTATCCTACACAGTTGCTATGATTTGGAATCTACTCAACAGCAGTGAGGTTGGGGTTAAAAAGAAAAGAAAAAGTGTGCATGTGTGTGTGTGTTGTGTGTTGTGTCTAATGAACCCAAACATTAGTTTTCCCCACTCAAGGGGGGGCCACCTTCCTCTAGGATGTTTGGTGACAAGAGAAATGTGTGTCTTATTGATGATGTGAGTTGTCTACACAGTACCTGTCCCCACCCCACCTTCCTGCTTGTCCCGGCCAGCCCTCATCTCTGAACACTGATCCTCCTGCACAGGGCTGTCAGGGAAGGACCAAAGGGCATGCGGGACTTCCTTTTATATCATTCCCCACACTGCCCCCTGCCTTGCCACGCGGGAGGCTATGTGAATGTGTTAGACTTTTCTAAAGGGTTGGACGCAGGGGATTACAATGAGGATGAGAAAACATTTCAAAGTATCTCCTAGTTGCAAACTTAAAAAAATTTATTCATTACCTTTCATTTGAACGACTTTATTGATATAATTCACAGTTAGTTAAACATATTAAAAAGAGTTATGCAAGCTCACTACCATCCTTTTTAGAGCCTGCTTTCTTTCTTGTAATCACTAACACACCGACCACACACACTTAGCTGCCTCTAATGTTAGACCTGGTCCTGGGTATATTTGACCTGCTGATTCCAAAAATGGCACCGATCTCCCCCCACAGGTCTAGTCTCTGTGATACAGAACATATGCCCTATGTCACTCCTCACCCTGCATGCCCATAACAAATCAGGATATTTTAATCTAGTGTTAGCTAGCCTGAGACAGAGGAAGTGCACACGGGCTTTATTTAAAATAGTTTGTTTTGTACTATTTAGGGCAAGTTATACATCACATGGTGTCCTTTGAGCCAAAGATATATTTGAACAGTGCAAATTACATGAGCTTGGAGTTTTCCCCCAAGTATGACTTTGCTTTCATTAGGAACAGACTAGTAAGCCAGTCCAATCTGTTATCTTTAAAAGGATCCAAAAGTAAGAATCACTGGTGGTGCAGTGGGTTAGGTGTTCGACTCGGAACCACAAGGTCAGTTGTTCAAGCTCACCGGCCACTCGGCAGAAGCAGGAGGAGCCTTTCTGCTCCCATACAGGTTTACAGCCTCAGCGACTCATAGGAGAATCCACGGTCCCAAATGTCACTGTGAGTCACAGTAGACTGCCTGGTGTTCAGTCTGGAACAGCAAATAGAGATCCAAATGTCCTGAAGCCTAAAATGGGTCAGTGAGAGTTCATCCCCCTTTAATAAAAGTAAAAAGGCCCAGTCTTATTATAAGATGGCACAGCTTCTCCACCTGTGCACAGAAACTCTTAGAAGAAAAGTTAGACCATTCCTTATAAAGAAGCTTGGCGTCAACCTCACCTCTGAAACATTTAATATGAATTATCCATTGGCTTCTCTATATGAAGATATGTTCTGTAATGTTTACTGTATAATTTAAAGAAGAAAGATCAGATCTTCAAGATATTTATGAAACTTGCTGTGAAGGCTTTCGTTTTCAACACTCTCAATTGCCCTCCCACCTCCCATAGCTGTGTTTTTTACTTGCCCACTCTCTCCACCTGTGTCCTGGCTTTTCAGTGTGCAACCTGTAGGCTTTGTATACGTAGCACAGGCTCCCAGAGCAAAAAGATCTAATCCGTCCGAACTTAACTATGACCCTGGAGGGCAGAGAAGAACTGCCCGTTGAGTAGTTTAATCTTTAAAAGGCTGCGGAGTGACCGATGGACTGTGTAACCAATCAGCCACCATGGGTCCATATTCAGCTTCCTGTGGGAGCCCTTACTATCGAGCTCCTTTTCAAATATTTCTTACCTATTTTGTGTTATCTTGTAGTTCGTGGGTCTGAATTCTCATCATATTTAGAACCAGGATTATAAAGTAATAAATTAGCTTAACTTAATAGCTGAAAATATAGTGGAACACCATATCTAAGAAACAAGAGCGGTTGTGGTCTATCTGATGCCATTTTCTGAGTCAGAGCCTCACATAATCCCAATACCAGGCCTGAAAAACAAGGTACCAAGAAAAGAATGTTCGTTGTTGCTGGGCTGTGTGTTAGCTCCCCATTTCCCTCCAACTTCCCCTGCCATAACCCCAAGAAACTATTAACCCAGTTACTATCTATATAGATTTACCTATAGTTGGTTTGTTTGTTTTTAAGTAGGTTTTTGAAACTGATTTGCTGGACTGAGGATGGTGCCTGCAAGAACCCATTGTCATTAAATCCATTCAAACTCATAGAGACCCTTGAAGATAGAGTGGAACTGCCCGCCCCATTCCCCCCACCACACACAAAGGGTCCCCAAAGCTGAGATCTTTACAGAAGCAGACTGCCATGTTTTGCTCCCTTGGAATAAGTAGGTTTGAACTGACAACCTTTTGATGAGCCACTGAGCACTTAATTGCCAGGGCTCCCAGTGCCTGTCAGGTGACTCTCATCATAGATCGAGCCTGCCTTTCTTACTCGGAAACTTATCACGGGTACACATACATGAGCTGGGTTCTCAGGGGAACACCCCACCCAAACACCAAACTCACTGCCTTCAAGTCCATGCTGACTCACAGTGACCTTAGAACTGCCCCTGTGGGTTTCTGAGGCAGTAACATTTTTTTAATAGGAATAGACAGCCTCATCTTTCTCTCATGTAACAGCTGGTGGTTTTGAACTGCTGGCCTTGTGGGTTAGCAGCCTACTACACCACCAGGGCGCCTTCAGGGGGACATGGGTATGGGAAACAGTCCGTTCCAGTCTAAAGGAGAGCACTGGTCCTTTGGAGGGAGAATTCTCACCTTGCATGTAGGAGACCTGTTCTCATTCCTAGCCAAGTGCAGCCACCGCCTGCATGAAGCTTGAGTGTTGCTGGGAGCAGATATCTCCAGAGCTTCCAGAGTTAAATACACGGCGGAGACAGTCTTGTTGGTTTACTTCTAAATATCAGCCGATGAAAAACCAGTGGGTCAAAATGCCGGTCTGATGCCCAAGCAATCGTGGAGTTTGGGTTTGTGGCCCATGGGTTTGTCAAGAGTCGGGGACAACCAACCCTATGGTCACTCACCCCACCAGTCTATGGGGAAAGCCAAGAAGGAGAACCCATCGCAGGATTTAATGCTCTCTGTGCACCCCCACTTTCCATCCTTACGCCCCTGTCCACAGAACTGTCTTCGTCTCGTATGTTAATTCATAGCGTTCAGAATTATCATTGACTAGCTAATAGGGGCTTTCATCAGGAATTAGGACAACACAAACAGTCTAGAAGTGGGCTTCGCACTAAAAGATTGGCCACCTGAGTTTACTTAGAAGTGCCTTGGAAGACCGGCCTGGCAATCTGCTTCCGGAAGATCGGCCACACCCACGGGCTGCCAGGAGTTGGGTCAATGCCCCCCCACACACAGTGGAATTCTGGGATTGCAGAGCACCGCTCAGCTCAGCCTCTCTCTGGGGTCGGGGGTGGGGTCCCTCTGCCGCTCCTCTCTGCAGCGTGCTCCCTTCTGCAGCTCCTCTTTCTCTGCTGCTTCATCAGCGTCAACAATGGAAGCCAGCCAGGCTCTGCCCATGCGTTCAGTTCCAGCCCCAGCATCTTGCCGCCCCTCGGGAGGGGCTCTCAATCTCCCAGATCCATTTCCTCTGCTCGGTGGTCCCTTTTGCTGTCAGGGAGAGAAGGTGCTAAGGCAGAGCAGAGAGTGGAGAAGGCAGACTCTCTTAAAGGAGTGCAAAGGGGAAGCAGAGACAGGCTTTGCTCTGTGGCTCGATGGCTGAGCTTGGTGGGACCTGGCCTCCCAAGACAAACACACATGGGGCACCCCCACCCTCCTGCTCCCAGAGGCCTCAGCCAGGCCTCTCTGCCTGCTGCCCTGAGCCAGGGGAGGCCTCATCGGGGAGGGCCTGGTATAGAGAGCAAGGGTCCCCCCGGGAGCTTCTGGCCTTGGCTTTGGCCTTGCCCAGCCAGCTGGGGCCTCTGTCCCTCTGCAGGTGCGGATCTGGGAGATCCCGGAGGGCGGGCTGAAGCGGAACATGACGGAGGCGCTCCTGCAGCTGCACGGGCACAGCCGGCGTGTGGGGCTGGTCGAGTGGCACCCCACGACCAACAACATCCTCTTCAGTGCCGGCTATGACTACAAGGTGCGTGGCTCAGGCAACGAGGCACGCAAGGGTCTCTTGGGAGGGCCTGTAGGGAATGCTGTTGTGTTTCTCTAGCATGCTACCCAGGATTGTCACATCGTTCATTCATTCATTCGCTGCTGTGCACCCCAGCGCCCCAGTCTCCTCCCCAGAGGCTGGCGGCACCCTGACTGCCTTCTCTGGCAACTCCATGCCCACATGTCCAAGGTCACTGCCCCCAAGGGGAAATGGAACCAGCAGGGCTGCTGTGGCGCTCCCACCCCAGCCCCCACTTTGGTTATGCCCTTGCTTAATTCAGAAACAACTCAGGCTGGGTCCGCACAGTGGTGGACCATGCCCCTTGCCCCCAAGCCCATCCCAGGCTCTGTGGGAAGGGAGGGTCCCTCCCTGGATGTTGGCTGCCATAGGGGGCCGACCAGGGCTCCTGCCCTCCTGCCCACCCGCCCCCACAGGTCCTCATCTGGAACCTGGACGTGGGAGAACCTGTGAAAATGATCGACTGCCACACGGATGTGGTGCTCTGCATGTCCTTCAACACAGACGGCAGCCTGCTCACCACCACGTGCAAGGACAAGAAGCTGCGTGTCATCGAGCCCCGCTCTGGCCTCATCCTGCAGGTGGAGCCCTGGCTTTGTGAGGAGGGGGCAGAGGAAGGCCCCGGGCCGGGCCGGGAGGGAAAAGCTGGGCCTGTAACAATTCACCACAGCCTGGCAGCTGGGAACAACAGGACATCTATTTTCTGGGAATTCTGGAGGCTACGAAGTCCCCCTACTACAGAGGGTCTAAGGTTCTGCCTCTTCTGCCTCCTAGTGAATTCTAGTTCCCTTGGCTTGTAGCCTCATTGCTCTAGTCTCTCCTTGCTTCCCAGTCTTACTCACTTACTGCCTTCACATTGATATGAGCCCTGGAGGCACAGTGGCAGAGGGGGTTATGGTTCGACTGCTAGCCACAAGGTTGGTGGTTTGAAACCACCAGCCCCTCCACAGGAGAAAGACGAGGCTTTCTACTCCTATAAAAAGTCAGGGTCTGGAAAATCCACAGGGGCAGTTCTACCCTGTCCTATAGGGTCGTCACGAGTATCCTGACATAGCCACTGTGATCTCCCTGTCCTATGAGGGTCCCTGGAGTTTGGGGAAGGAGACTGCAAACAAGATAATCCAGGGTCAACTGCGCATCTCAAGACCGCTAGTTCCATCTGCAAGAAAAGATCCCTGACCTAGGTGCATCTGCAAAGACCTCCTCCAAAGGAGGAAGCAGAGTCTTGCAGGAATGTCTCTGAGAAGCGGGGTGCAGCCCTCTGGGGCGCTGCTCATCCTGCCCTCTTGTCCCCTCCAGGAGGCCAACTGCAAAAACCACAGGGTCAACCGGGTGGTGTTCCTGGGGAACCTGAAGCGCCTCCTCACCACTGGTGTGTCCAGGTGGAACACGAGACAGATCGCCCTCTGGGACCAGGTCAGCGGCTGAAAGTCCCACTTGGGTCTCCGTGCCCCCCACCTCACCCAGAGCAGAGGTGCCAGGCTGTGTCCCCAACAGTTAAACAAGGGACGTGGACAAGAGGCATTGTGTGAAGGTCTTTGAGGTAGTGAGCTGCTGTGTTCTGGCAAGAGCTGCCACGGACACAGCAGGCCAGAACGGGGGGGGGGGGGAGGGGGTAGAGGAGCAGAGGGAGGGTCCGGGAGCCCAGGAGCTGCCTGCTGGGCTTTGGATGACGAAGCCTCCCTGGGCCTCCCCAGACAGAGGTCGTTTCTTCTGAAGGTCAGGAGCCCGGCAGCACACAAGCTCCTGGCATGCCACCAGCTGAGCTTCCTCTGCAGAGATGGGACACACAAGGGCTTTAGGGATGAGGGCCAGCCACACCTGCCAGATGTGGCCAAGTCCAAGATGAGCTCCAGAGAGATCAAGGGCAACTCAAGGCCATGGGCCCGGGTGCTGAGGACAAGCCCTTGCTCCTGTGCTGGGCTGATTTTGACAAGCAGGAATTCTGCCTTGTCCCCACCCCTCTGACAGGTGCCTGGATGCACTGGTGATTGAGCTCTGGGGGCCAGGCTGGGGTTGGGGAGAGGAGGTGCCAGCCAGGCCGGTCATGCCCCTCTCCTGCCCACAGGAGGACCTGTCCATGCCCCTGATCGAGGAGGAAATCGACGGGCTCTCCGGCCTCCTGTTTCCCTTTTATGACGCCGATACGCACATGCTCTACTTGGCTGGAAAGGTAGTGAGGAGAAGGGGGTCTGGGGTGCCCTATGGGAGACCCCCATTGTGCTCAGGCTTCTGCCTCCGGGACCCCTCCCCAGTCTACCCCCACCCCATCCCAACACCTAGCTCAACAGGACGGGGAGAGGCAGTAGGCTCTGTGGGGCCTTCTGGGCGCTGAGCACGGGGTGCTGGTTCCAGTCTGCGTCGGGGTGAAGAGCCCGCGCTGTAGAGCTGGGCTGACCTCTCTGTCCTCTCCAGACCCAGCCTCTGTCCCTGGGCACCAGCCTCCCCCTCGTCCCACGGAATAAGGGGCTCCTTCTCAGCCAGCGGCCATGATTCCTTAATGAGGGTCCTTGGAGCGGCTTCCACCTTGACACACGGATCCAAACCGAAATGAATTAGCTATGGCGTGTGAGGCCCCCGCCAGGCATGTCTGGGAGGATGTCAGAGCACTGGTTAAACACGCACACACGCACGCGCGTACACACACACAGTCCACCAGGCTCTCCTTGGCTTTCTGACGGCCTCTCAGGCACAGTGGGGGCTCTCTTCAGCAGACCCCTGGTCAGTTCCCTCCCCACCTTGCTCACCTCCCTCTCTCCTTGCCCCCAGGGGGACGGCAACATCCGGTATTACGAGATCAGCCCTGAGAAGCCCTACCTGACTTATCTCATGGAATTCCGATCTCCAGCTCCACAGAAAGGTCTAGGTAAGAGGAGCCCAGAGCTCTCTGACCTCTCCGTTCACCACCCCCACCCCCACCCCCACCCACCCCCGTGCCCATCACAGGGAGCAGTAGGGCATAGGAGGAGTGTGGCACCACCGCTCCTCAGAGGAGTTCGCTTAAGCCAGGGGCTTCAATGCTGCTGAGCCTCCGTCTCCTTAGCTGTAAACTGGGAGCAGCGGATCAGCCCTGGCTAAGCCCCTCGCCCACTTATCGTGAAACTCAGACAAGAACTGGGGGTGCTTGGCCCGCGCCCATCGTTTCACAGGGGAGACGCTGAAGCCCAGAGGGAAGTAATTTGCCAGGATCACACGGCAAACTAGCATCAGAACCAGGATGAGAACCGTGGACAAGTTCCTCCCCAGCTCCAGGGATGCCAGAGCTGGAAGGCGATGAGAGTCCACCTCAGTGACCAACAGCAAAGCCCCAGAGATGGGCCCGAGGTGCCAATGACCTTTTCATTGGCTTCACCTGCCCCAAATGTTCTGTCACTCCACTTCCCTCACCTTCTTGCCTTCATCATGTCACGTAAGAAGCCGCCTGGGCTTTGGAGTCAAACCTGGGTTCCTGTTTGACCTCATTAGGCACTTAGCCTCCATCCGGCATCTCAGTGTCCTCATCTACAGAACAGGGGATCTCAAACCAACCTTGCAAAGTTGTTGTGAAGATTCGAGACTGTGTGGACAAAGCCCCTCATAGATCACTTGGTTCTCCTGCTGCTTCCTTGAGTTGTCCAACAAACCCTTAGTGGATACCACCTGTGACTTAGACCCTGTCCTAGCCCCTGTGCTAGACCCTATAGCAGGCCCTATACAAACCCTGGGCTTGACTTCGTACTAGACCCTGGGATGCCACTGTACACAAAACAGAACATGACCTCTCTCTTGCGAGGCTTCCATTCCGCAGGCAGACTATAAACAAGTAAGTAAGAAAAATTACCAGATGGTAGTAAGTTCTAGACAGAGAATCAAATGGGTTGTTTGGACAGAGAGGAACTGGGGGCCGCTTTTAGATCAAGTGGTCACGGAAGGCCTGGCGGTGGAGGGAGGTGACTCCCAGCCAGAAAGAGTGGTGGATGCAGTCTACACCCAGGTCTGTCTGATTCCAAAATGTGTACTCTTGAAACAGAGTGTTCCGCCTCCTGGTCATGGGTGCGCAGGAGGAACATGGCTAGTACAAAACCCACGGGGAAAGAGAGAGAGAGAGCTGAAAGACACAATAGAACATAAACTTTGTGTTCTGGGAGCTAAAGCTCTGGGATCCCAGAAAATAGTCTCCCTCTTTTTTTCCTTAGTTGCAAGGTCAGTGGTTCAAACCCCACCAGCCACTCCAAGGGAACAAAGATGAGGTTGTCTGCTCCAGTAAAGATTCACAGTTTCAGAAATGCAACAGAACCCTTCTGATCTGTCCCGTAAGGTCACTTGACTCGATGGCAATGCACTTTGGAGGACCAGAGACACTTAGGCTTAGGAAAGCCAGTTCATTTCAGAAGGCGGCGCTCTGTGGCCCTGATGCTGCCTTCTTTCTCTGTCACTTTGAGCAAGCCCCTTGCCCCTCCGACCCGCAAGAGTCTCCTCTACAAAAGAAGTGAACAGAACGCACATCTCTGTGCAGACTTTAGAGATAGGTCTTGCGGGGAGGGGCTGATTTGAACAGTTACCATCCAGAGACAGACCCTGATTCTAGAATCTCCAGCCCACCCGCTGCTGTCTGCCTGGGCCAGCACCTGCCACCTCTGCCTTTCCCTTGGCTGAGGACATGGAGGAGGAAGAACACGGAAGGGGGGGTTCTGAGACCCCATGGCAGCCATGTGTCCATCCACAGGGGTCATGCCCAAGCACGGGCTGGATGTGTCGGCCTGCGAGGTGTTCCGCTTCTACAAGCTGGTGACGCTCAAGGGCCTGATCGAGCCCATTTCCATGATTGTACCCCGGAGGGTGAGTGCAGCAGCCTGGCCTCCCAGGGGCCCCTACATTGGACCCTAGCTTGCAGGCCGGGGGAACCCAGGGAAAGGGAGGACCTGTGGACTGAGATCTCCAGGTCCAGTCTGCAGTGGGGAGGTGGGCAGTTTGGCCTGCGAATGAATACAGGGTGGGGGTCGCCAGCAGGGGACACCAGCGAGGGCAGGAAAGCAGGTGGCATGGTTGGAGGTCTGGCTGCAGAGCAGGGTTTTCTCAGCAGCCCCCCACCCCATCTGTCTACTCTTCTGCTCCCTGTTCTGCAGTCGGACTCCTATCAGGAAGACATTTACCCCATGACGCCAGGAACGGAGCCAGCTCTGACCCCCGACGAGTGGCTGGGAGGCATCAACCGAGGTACCCAAAGGCGTGGGCATTGCAGCAGGGTACCCTGCTGAGGGCATTGCCCAGACCTCTCCTAGGTCAGGGCCTCCAGGTGGTCCCAGAAAGGCTGCCTTCGCCATAAATCCTGGGACTCGTCCCCCCTCTGCCCCAGGGCTGACTCTCCCCACCCCCGAAGATAAGGGTCGGACTGGAGGACTCTGGTCCCTGCCAGAGACTTGCAGCTCTAGGGGTCAAGACCCCCTCTTTGCCGAGCTGGCACTCCTATGCCGAATGGAGGCCAACCCAGGCCACCGTCCTCTCCCCTGCACTGGGGCTGCCTTCCTTCATGCTCCTTTCCTTCTTCCTGAACCCCCCCAATCCTGAATAAAATCCCCCCAAATTAAAATGAACTCAACAACAAGTGTTTAACGGAGAAAAAGCACAGCCTGCCCTGAGACCATCGACTAGATCCCAGACTCCTTTGCTCCCCATCTGCATGACCATAGCCGACTGCTCCCTGATCCCCCATTCCCTCCTCTGCGAAGTGGGAGTGCTTGGCACCTCCTTCGTGGGCTCTTGGAGATCCAAGGATACATTCCATGCACAGACTCAGCACCACGCCGAGCATGTCGTGACCGCTGGGACTACTGTTGCCCTACTCAGCATCACTGAGCCCGGGCCAGGCGCCATCACAAAGATCTGCTGGACCAGTGGTCTTTAACCTCGCACAGGGGCGGGCGTGGGTGAGGAGCACCTACTTGTTCCTCCTTCTAGAACAGCGGTTCTCAACCTGTGGGTCACAACCCCTTTGGGGGTCGAATGACCCTTTCACAGGGGCCGCCCGATTCATAACAGGAGCAAAAGGTCAGTGCTGAAGTAGCAACGAAAATAATTTTATGGTGGGGGAGGAACTGTATGAAAGAGTCGTGGCATGAGGAAGGTCGAGAACCACTGTTCTAGAACACGAGGAACTGTATGAAAGAGTCGCAGCATGAGGAAGGTTGAGAACCACTGTTCTAGAACCTGCTTCTCTTTGACATTGAGCCTATCTGTTAATAGAGAAGATGGGCTTGCCCACCAGAGACTGAGAAAACCAGGAGGATGTGGTGGGAATTGCAGACAGTGTGGGCTTAGTGGTGTCTGAGCCCAAGTTGGTGACCCCCAAATGTTGATGTGTCACCCTAGGGTTCCTGGCATCTGCCTCCCCCCCC